GAATGTATGTGCAATGTTTTGTGTGTTTTAGATATGCGTATGTATTCATACAAATAAATTACCATAAATATTTGGCTGAACTGATAATATAGTTAGTTGCGTTTCTTTTACAGGACGTTGCAGAACCAACCGAAGCATTTTTTGGCTGTTGTGGTTTTTCCTAGGAAAGTTTACGTCCAGTAGTTTGCCATTGCAACTGGACGGTCGGCTTCTCGATACCACTGTCAAAACCAACGCAAGGCGCAAGGCCCGCAGCTGGGATCGAACCTGGCACCCCGGCACTACAAAGCGCGTTCGTAACGCCTAAGCCACAGACGCCGACTGATAATACGTTACTGAATTTAACTCAGATAAAGGCACATCTCGCATATTGTTGTGACTTTCTATGTTTATGGCAAGAATATTTGCTGTGCTTTTCTACGTTGAATGTTGAATGCTGAATTTTGAACGACACCATAGCACCTGGTACTCTCCCAGAAGCGCTCTGTCCCCATCTTCAGCAGGAAGTGAAGAGTTACAATTCCTTTGGCACCACTAACTGTCTGATTGTACATCCGTCTCGCCTTTTCCAATAGTGTTGAGCGTCGACCAGATAGCTTTGTAACTCTTCGCAGCTCCATTTCATTCAAACCGTAATGATCCATTTGTACCTCCTGTGTTTACTCGCTCCCAAAGGGCTCTCATGTGTGTGTGTCTTGTCACCTATCATTTCACCACCAGGTGGTGCAAAACCGGCCAGTCTATTTGCTTGCTCGTATCTCAACATAGTGATTCCCTACAGAAAATATCCAAAGGACGCTAACTACCCGGGACCTCTGAAGCGACGCTTGCCACTCTGTGCGGAGCATGCCTGTCTCCACCTTTCTCAGAATGCTCTGTGAGTCTATTACAATCACGACATGTGTGTACATCTGATTCTCAAGCCAGTGGAAGGCAGCAGTGACTGCCTCCAACTCCATTCTGAAACTTAAGGTTGTGATATCAAATGCCAGGTTTTGCTGTGCTAAGCGATGTTTATGCTCTGTTGCCATGAACCAAATGTATCAAGGCTCCAAACATGTCTGTGTCTTCAGCTTGCGCCATCCAAGACTGTCCTTTTTTCAGTCTGTCACACTTCTCTCCGCCTGGGGGTTTCATGCAGGAGGTGCTTCTTACCTGCAGCTACTCCGAGATACAACTTTGATTGCAGAACTTTGAGACTTTCTGCAATAGTAGGCAGTGCAAGTATGTCTCGCATACATACTACTGGGGTATTTCTTGTACATCCCAGAATTATCCGCATGACTTCCTTCTGTATGCACTCATGTTTCATCAGGTGACTCTTTGATATGGTAAACATTCCAAGTCCGTAATCTGCCATTGACAAGAGCACGTGCTGGAACATTGTAAACAACATTCTTTATTCCATGTCCATTGCTGCCATAATATTGAGAGCACTGAGTCCTTTTTGACATTTCACCACAACTGCCTCCACGTGATCCCTGAAGGACAGATTCTATCCAAAATGATACCCAGTTACCTAGTTTGCTTTCTCTTTTAATGTTATTGTTATTAATGGCGATGCTTAGAACATTAGCTGTTACAATTCTATTGTCCGGAGAGCACCATAAAACAACCGCTTTTTCTGAGTTGGGAATAGCAGCCATCTCTGCACACCAGTTAGTCACTTTATCTACACTTGCCTGTAGCAGCTCTTGGGCTGTCTGTTTCATATCGCTTTCCACCTATATGCAAGAACATTATCTGCAAACATCAATATCCTATCAAAACCTGTTGCTTCAAGTTCTGCAATACTGCTACGGTAGTTAGTGACTATTCATTTAGTATGCATAAGGAATAGCGACGTTATGCAAAGCATATTCTGTGACACCGACACACACACACACACACACACACACACACACACACACACACACACAACGGATGGGTGGGATGGGGGAGGGGTCGGAGCGGGGGTTCAATAATATTATTATTAAAAATTTTTATCCGTCCAATGGCAAATAAATATAATGTATTTGAAAATTATGTGAAATGTATAAACACATTCTAAAAAAAAGGGGGGGGGGGGACTTCTATGCATTGTGGCGTGGGGGAGGGAGAGCACTTTTTCCCCCAGGTTGAGCACCCCTGAGACATTTTTTAGTATCCCTAAGGAGTATTCTTTTCTGTCTGCTTCTCCTGTTGTGTGTAAATAATACTCAAAAAAGCATACTGCTCTCACTGAACTCGCACTAAGCAAACTGAAGACTGATTTAGGCTTGGTTGGATTTTAAAGCCACTATACTATGGATTTACACTGTCAGTCTTACGTAATTTCTTTTTTTTTCCATAGCCTCCTATGTCATGCTTCGTTGGTGACACTGTACTTTACAATTATTTGCTTCACTGATATCCTTCCTGCTTTGAACAGCAAGGTACACATGGGTAGTGCTTTGTGTAGCTGTTACAATACGTACCCTGAATAAAACTTTTTAAGAGGTTGAAAGGAATATATGAGAATCATGTTGGACTACCATCCATGATGTAATTCTTTGATCCCAGGTGTGGTAACATTTCCATGGAGTTTCGGTGACACTAACCCAATCAGTCAGTAATTCTTCACTAATGAGTGTTAGCAACACAAAGGCGAGACTATTTGTAAAAGGAATGAATATCTTCGCTAATGTGTAACAGAACAAAAGCAGCTAGAAATGCACGGCTGGAATCCTATAGTAATTACACACACACATGGCTGACTCGATCAATACAAATTAAATCACTTGGGCACTAATACATATCTATTAAAATAGTTGATCGAATGTTTTCATGTGTATTTTATCAGTAATCACCACAGTCCTCATCATCAGTGGTGCTGTGCATGCGACACAAACGATCACTCTCCTTAACAACAACCAGTTCCCGCGTTCCTGATAAGAAGAAAGAGCAAGCAGAGTTCAAGGGGGAAAGGAAATGAGAGCATTTAACCAGCTGGCAGAGTGAACGCACTACTACAATGTTTACTTAAATTTGTTTGCCGCTGCTGTGCCGCAGGCACCTGGTCGCACTTAATCTCTGCAGATAGCAAGTCTGGTGTAGGTCTACTGTTTAAAATACCTGGGTGCTATATTCAGCCAATAGGCTAGATAATAAAGATGAGGCTGAAAAACGGTTACAACAGTAAATACAAACTAAACACACCATGATGAAATGAAGAGGGTAATTGGAGTCATCGATTAGTTTACACGTTTCTATGGTCACGGCGCAGGACCAAAACCAACAGTCATTTTGACATGTTCAAGCATTTTGCTTCATGAAGAAGTTTGTAGTTAGTTTGTGTAATTTAGACTGGTTCACGTATTGGTATCTCCTTGTAATGACTGTTATTTTCGAGCATGGGATCTGAAAACACGCCTGTTCTTGAGGTGAGTGCTTTTACGTTGCTATCGTATTTGATGAACTGAAAGACTGTGTTGGTCAAGGACTTTTGACACTGAGTTTGTATTAAAAAAAAAAAAAAAAACAATGACATGACGATGGTATTTCACATTTTTAGATTTTCTGTGACAATAATTAACACAGGGAGAAAGCTTTATATTATGGTGGCTAGACTTGTTAGTGTTGATCTCATGTGCCTATTTTATATCGTAGATTGCTAAGGTTCTAAATACCCTGGCAAATTTCAATGATTATTAGTCGTAGACACTAAATAGTCTAGCTTTACGTAAAGTCTACAGTGACTAATAGATGTTGAAATCAGACACGACAGGGTACATCAAACGGGAGGAATTGTTTTGTCATCAAAGTCAAAGATTTTCTGTAAAATAATTATCAGTAGAATTAAAGAAGAAGTGCACGTAATCCTAAGAGAGAAACAAGCAGGTTTTTGACCTCACAGACTTTGCTTAAATCAAAATTCACACTGAGACTTATTTTACAGGAATTCTTTGAAAAACTAACCCCCATATTTAGAATTTCATCGTCTTTAGAAAGGCTTTGATCGCTTACACGGAACATCACTACTAGGAATTTTGAGTGATAATAATTTTACTATGTAATCACAGTGTAATAAATATCTTAAAGTGCTCATATCTATACCATGAGTTATTTTGGATTTAAGCTTATGTATGTATCAGAAGTGATTGAGAGATTGATAGAAAGCTTTGGTTTGATTTGATGTGATAGCCAGTGTCAGATCACACGGACATGAGGAAGATGTAAAGAAACGACCTGTTTCGAAGTTATAGGTTTTGAAAGTATATAGCGCTTGCCAAATTACCGTTTATAGGGAATGTTAACACCACGTTCTGGAGATACTTTGCTGAAGGGTGCAATTCCAGGAAAAGCGAGGACAGATGTCGACAAGTGGGGAAGGCAGGTACAGGACATTGAAGATGCATTGACTCTCGAAGCATACATGGCTGGAGAATTGCTAGAGAAAGAGAGGCTATAAGGCGTGGCGGGAAGAGACCTTCGGCAAAGGTCATGCTGATCAACTGTTTGAACTCCCCCGTAAATTGAGTGATATCATGAAGCTGCCTTTATTTAGAACACTTCCTTGTACCCATTTAAGCGCGTTTGACTTGAGAGCCCATATCAATTTAAAAAAAAAAGAACTAAAAATGTTTACCAGTCAAACAAACAAAAGTGAACCTACAAAAACTTTATAAAAAGAAAAGGATCCTATTTGGAAGGGCTTTTGGTCCATATGCGTACTGGACTGACAGGCAAGAGTTCTCCAATGGGTAACCACAGGGCCCACATGATTGCCTACAGGGTGACCATAATTTTGGTGGTAAATGATAAGACAGATAACAATGGCATTGATTAATGATACACAGAACCGTGATAATTTAGTGATACATGATTGTAGAAAGAACGATAACAATGACATTAATTAATGATATACAGAACCGTGATAATTTAGTGATACATGATTGTAGAAAGAACGATAACAATGACATTAATTAATGATACACAGAACCGTGATAATTTAGTGATACATGATTGTAGAAAGAACGATAACAATGACATTAATTAATGATATACAGAACCGTGATAATTTAGTGATGCATGATTGTAGAAAGAACGATAACAATGACATTAATTAATGATATACAGAACCGTGATAATTTAGTGATACATGATTGTAGAAAGAACGATAACATTGACATTAACTAATGATACACAGAACCGTGATAATTTAGTGATACATGATTGTAGAAAGAACTATAACAATGACATTAATTAATGATACACAGAACCGTGATAATTTAGTGATACATGATTGTAGAAAGAACGATAACAATGACATTGATTAATGATTATATACAGAATAGTGAAATTTTAGTGACACTTTGTTATACAAAGAACATTGCTAATTTAGTGGCATGTGATTGTATATATAACGATTATTAATTTATTAATAAATTGTAATATAAGAAAGGATAAGAATTTGAATGGTAAATTATTACTCAATAACAATTACAATTTTAATGGTGGAACTATTATATAAACAGCGTTAATTTCAGTGATACATGATTTATAAACAGGAAAATAAAGAATTTCCATTTATATAATATTACATAAAAATACATTTTTTAATGACAAGTTAAACATGAAAATAATTTACAAATGATAATTTAAACAACAATAATCATTTCAGCGATACATTTTTATTTAATTATAATAATTTTAGCATCACACGCTTACAAAAAGAAAGAACTATTGCAATATAAAAAAAAAGAATAATAACAAACTAACTAACTAACTAACTAACTAACTAACTAACTAACTAACTAACTAACTAACTAACTAACTAACTAACTAACTAACTAACTAACTAACTAACTAACTAACTAACTAACTAACGAACTAACTAACTAACGAACTAACTAACTAACTAACTAACTAACTAACTAACTAACTAACTAACTAACTAACTAACTAACTAACTAACTAACGAACTAAACTAACTAACTAACTAAACTAAAATAACTAACTAACTAACTAACTAACTAACTAAACTAACTAACTAACTAAAACTAACTAAAACTAAACCAACTAAACTAACTAACTAAACTAACTACATACGAACTAACTAAACTAACTAACTAAACTAACTAACGAACTAACTAAACTAACTAACTAACTAACTAACGCAGACTAACTACTAACTAATCTGAACTAAACTAACCGAACTTTAACCAAACAAACTAACTAACTAAACTAACTAAACTAACGAACTAAACTAACTAACTAACTAACTAACTAACTAACTAACTAACGAACTAACTAACTAACCTAACTAACTAACTAACTAACTAACTAACTAACTAAACTAACTAAACTAACTAACTAAATAACTAACTAACTAACTAACTAACTAACTAACTAACTAACTAAACTAACTAACTAAACAACTAACTAACTAACTAAACTAACTAAACTAACTAACTAAACTAACTAACTAACTACTAACTAACTAACTAACTAACTAACTAACTAACTAACTAACTAACTAACTAACTAACTAAACATAACTAACTAACAACTAACTAAACAAACGAACTAACTTAACTAACTAACTAACTAACTAACTAACTAACTAACTAACTAGCTAACTAACTAACTAACTAACTAACTAACTAACTACTAACTAACTAACTAAACTAACTAACTAAATAACTAACTAACTAACTAACTAACTAACTAACTAACTAACTAAACTAACTAACTAAACTAACTAAACTAAACTAACTAAAACTAACTAACTAAACTAACTAACTAAAACTAAACCAACTAACTAACTAACTAAACTAACTAACTAAACTAACTAACTAACTACTAACTAACTAACTAACTACTACTAACTAACTAACTAACTAACTAACTAACTAACTAAACTAACTAAACTAACTAACTAACTAACTAACTAACTAACTAACTAACTAACTAACTAACTAACTAACTAGCTAACTAACTTAACTAACTAACTAACTAACTAATAACTAACTAACTAACTAACAGAACTAACTAACTAACTAACTAACCAACTAACTAACTAACTAACTAACTAATTGAACTAACTAACTAACCAACCAACTAACTAACTAAACTAAAAACTAAACTAAACTAACTAACTAAACTAACTAACTAAACTAACTAACTAACTAAACTAACTAACTAACTAACTAACTAACTAACTAACTAAACTAACTAACTACTAACTAACTAACGAACTAACTAACTAAACTAACTAACTAACTAACTAACTAACTAACTAACTAAACTAACTAACTAACTAACTAACTAACTAACTAACTAACTAACTAACTAACTAACTAACTAACTAACTAACTAACTAACTAACTAACTAACTAACTAACTAACTAACTAACTAACTAACTAACTAACTAACTAACTAACTAAAACTAACTAACTAACTAAACTAACCAACCAACAAACTAAACTAATTAACTAAACTAAACAAACTAAACTAACTAACTAACTAACTAACTAACTAACTAACTAACCAACCAACCATCTAACTAAACTAACTAAACTAACTAACTAAACTAACTAACTAACTAACTAACTAACTAACTAACTAACTAAACTAACTAACTAAACTAACTAACTAAACTAACTAACTAACTAACTAACTAACTAAACTAACTAAACTAACTAACTAAACTAACTAGCTAAACTAACTAACTAAACTAACTAAACTAACTAACTAAACTAACTAACTAAACTAACTAACTAAACTAACTAACTAACTAACTAACTAACTAACTAACTAACTAACTAACTAACTAACTAACTAACTAACTAACTAACTAACTAACTAACTAACTAACTAACTAACTAACTAACTAACTAACTAACTAACTAACTAACTAACTAACTAACTAACTAACTAACTAACTAACTAACCAACCAAACTAACTAAACTAAACTAACTAAACTAACTAACTAAACAACTAACTAACTAACTAACCAACTAACTAAACTAACTAACTAACTAACTAACTAACTAACTAACTAACTAACTAAACTAACTAACTAACTAACTAACTAACTAACTAACTAACTAACTAACTAACTAACTAACTAACTAACTAACTAACTAACTAACTAACTAACTAACTAACTAACTAACTAACTAACTAACTAACTAACTAACTAAACTAACTAAACTAACTAACTAACTAACTAACTAACTAACTAACTAACTAACTAACCAACTAACCAACCAACTAACTAAACTAACCTAACTAAATTAACTAACTAACTAACTAGCTATAATGATCTCTAACACTCTATGTCCCTTGTCTTGTACACTCTCAGACAGTCGAAACTATTATATAAAGAAGGCTAGTAACTGTCCCATCTAATCTTCTCATCTTGATCGGCTGGCACCTTACGGTGTCGGATGAAGTATTATTCAGGGCGAAGTGCCCGTTTGTAAATGGGGATTCCAAGGCACTATGTAATTTCCTATGTCCATAATTTTCTTGGTCGGCCTCTTCTTTGTCTGCCGCCTGGTCTGAACATCGTTGCTTGCTGCTGGTATACTGTTTGCTGACATCCGAGTTATATGGATAAATCATTTCTTCTGTTGCCTTCTAATGAGATCCAAAGCCCCGTTACCCCCATTCTCTTTCGGATGTAATCATTTTCTATCTTATCTCTTATTGTTATTTTGAAAGTCCTTCGTGTGAATCTCATTTCAGTTGTAATTTTTCTTTTCTCTGTTTCTGTCTTTGTCCATGTCTGTTATTGGTAGCACAGGGCTGGCAAGAAGATTATGTCATGGAGTGCTCTTTAAGTATCTCAGATACATGTTTGTTTCTTGTATTGCTGCAATCTGGCCAATGAGCTGGTTTGTTCTTTTACATCTGTCATCGATCTCACCTGTTTGCTTTGCCAACTGACGATATCTGCTAGTAACTGTAGTGATCAATAATTGTGCTAAGAACGATCATAATTTCACTGATCTGTTGAATATATATTTATAACATTAGTATAACTTCAGTGACAAATAGGATATAAAGAGCAATCATTGCTTATACAAAGAATGAGAATACTGCTTTGAACGTCGTAGCTTTCTAGACTGTTGCCACATGTGTCAGAGTAATGATTGAAGCTAATGTTTTATCTTACAGACATCATCTGTAACTATTTCTGGCGCGGTCAAACGAGGGATTGAGACTGAAGTGTTAGGACCATTACGAATATGGCACATCATTGGTATTTCACTTACAATTCTATCAAGTGCAGGTATGATATTTGTTTTGGATTTTGAGTAAGGATCCATTTTACGGCACACTAACCTCCACAGAACAAGGGTTTCAAGCTGTTTGTGATAAAAAAAAATATGTGCGTGCTAGAAATAAAGCAAAGAGCCCTTTTCCACGACTTCACCCGCTGTGAACCCCGGCGAAATGACTTGGTTGTTCGTCCATTTCTGGACTTCGCCTTTCTTCCAGGACCTGAGTTTTGCTCGTGCGTCAGTTTTACAGATCTTGCTTATTTGTGGGCAGACAGTTGCTTCCTTGCACTCCGACTTTGAAGGAAGTCTCCAATTTGTATTTAGGCATATACGGCTAGATCTATTTTTTACATACCAATCAGCAATCGGCGGCTGATTTGTAGTCAACATCACACCAGCCGCCTTTACTTTCTAAGACTCTACCATGTATTCACTTAAGGCCCGACTGACCTGGGAGCCAAAGTCACTTTTCTGGAAAAATCCGGGTCCGCCGGGACTCGAACCCACCACATTTGATCAATAGGCGAGCCTCTAGCCGCTACACTACGGCGATTTTAGAAGCAACATGTTACAATATAGTCTTGCTGGAAGTAGAACTTTATTTTTGAAATCTTGCTTGTTAAACCTGTTCTGGTTTGAAATTCAAAAGCTGCTAGTGTTTTTTAATGTGCAGAGAGCACATATGAGCACAGTAAATAATAATTTTTAGGTTATTTTTAGATGTAACGCCATTTTCCTATAATTTGAATAGATAAACTGGAACTTGGCGACAAGACAAAAAGAACTACAGGAATTGATAAATGGTGCTAGAAAGTGATAAAATGGGCTTCAGTGTGAATAATGGAAAGACAGAAAAAAATTGTGATTTCTAAGAAAACGATAGTGCCTAAATGTATATAAAAGTCAAACGCGTTATTTTAGGGCAAGTACAGAAATATAAGTAACTAGGCACAGGGCAACATGCGATGGAGGATGTATCACAGAGAAAAAGAATAGAATAGTTGAAGCCAAAACTGCATTTTACAAAATGAACACAATTTTGTGCAATAAATCCATGTCCCTGGAGGTAAGGAAAAAAAATCTCGCATTCTATATAGAGCCATTAAATATAATAAACAAACAAACTATGTATTGGTTGGCATTCATAGAAAGAAGTAGAAAGATACAAGAATACACTAGACCCCACCCCCCCCCCCCCCCCCCCCACCCACAAAAAAAAAAAAAAAAAAATAAAATCAAAAGCTATAGTTTCCGTGCCGAGAATCGAACCTACCACCTCCAAATGGCGTATGCGCCTAGCTATGGAAACAAATGTTCTTAAAACATGTTTAACTAGGCACCCCTCCTCTTCCCTAAAAACATGTCTATATTGTCTGTTTGAAATCTATAACTATGGAATATGGATATAATTTATCTCAAACCAGTGAAATGGCAACATAAGCACATATTTTTTTAATTAAAGAAGCATAGGTCGAATAACAAACATAGCAACGATTTACAAACGCAGTAGACTGTAATGCTTTGTCTAGAACACACAAACATTTAAGAAAGGTATTTATTGGTAGGTTCCATTGTGTATACGTCATTCACATAAATAAACAGAGGGGGCCCTTGAGGCCGTATACATATTAAATTTAATAAACAAACAGACAATGTATTGATTGGCATTCATTTAAAAAAAAAAAGAAAGACGGAAGAACACACTAGGCAACATAAAAATCGAAAACTATGGCGTGTGCGTCTTGCTATGGAAACAAGTGCACTATATAAAAAGCTGTGAAGCCTGGACATTCAATAAACCAGCCGTACAATATCCTGATGCCGCGGAGAAGTGGTTTTACAGAAGAATCCTTAGAATTGCTTGGACAGCTTAGAAGAACAACCTAGATGTTTTGAAAGAGGGGAATGCTCGAAGACAACTTATCACAAACATCAGAAAGAGGCCGTCATCATTTTTTGGTCATAGTTATGAGAAGAGCAAAAACTGAACATGTTGTGACCACTGCAAAGATCTGTGGAAAGAGAGACAGAGGAAGACAGCGTGAGAAGATTCGTGAAATCTTTTGTCATGCCATAGTGGGGTGTTAGCACACGAACTGGTTCACACAGTTGCTGATCACAGATTGTGGAGAGGAATGATTGCCGACGCGCCAGTCGGCAAGGCACTTGATGAAACTGGGATTCCATAAGTGATTTGGCAATTATTAACCCAGCCCTCTACCGTCTCAGGACATTTCCTGGTACCTACATGATTGGTCGGTGTCTGTGGCTTAGGCTTGCGAATGTGTTTCTTAATTCCGAGGTACCGGGTTCGATTCCAGCTGCCGGCGATTTAGTAGCAGACCCCCTTGCGTTATAGGGGTAAAGAGAAACCACCACTTCTCTAAGCAATGGCAAACTACTGAACGTAACATTATCTGTTAAAACAAAATCAGACTACACATTACTGGGGTTGGTGCCTGAACGTTCTGTAAAGTATACGCAGCTAAGTTTATTTCCATGATGTTAGTGCTGGATTGAACTAGGTTCACAGCTGTTAGGATGTGGACTGGAACTTATACCACAGGGCCAGCAAGAAAGCCTGCTAGCCATTACAATATGTAGCTCTTTAGAAATGCTTGTGTAAAAAAAAAAATCGTCTTTCTACTGATCAAGGCGCAGAAAGGGGGTGATTGGGTGGGGGGGGGGGGGGGGTGGGGGTTTGGATATTTTATAATTTAAAACGTTGTCTAAGACAGTAGTTCCCAGTCAGTGAATGGTCCAGGATATCCAGGGCTCTGTGGAGCAACACTGAAGGCTCTGGGATATCCGGGGCTCTGTGGAGCAACACTGAAGGCTCTGGGATATCTGGGGCTCTGTGGAGCAACACTGAAGGCTCTGGGATATCTGGGGCTCTGTGGAGCAACACTCAAGGCTCTGGGATATCTGGGGCTCTGTGGAGCAACACTTAAGGCTCTGGGATATCTGGGGCTCTGTGGAGCAGCACTGAAGGCTCTGGGATATCCGGGGCTCTGTGGAGCAACACTGAAGGCTCTGGGATATCTGGGGCTCTGTGGAGCAACACTGAAGGCTCTGGGATATCTGGGGCTCTGTGGAGCAACACTGAAGGCTCTGGGATATCTGGGGCTCTGTGGAGCAACACTGAAGGCTCTGCGATATCTGGGGCTCTGTGGAGCAACACTGAAGGCTCTGGGATATCTGGGGCTCTGTGGAGCAACACTGAAGGCTCTGGGATATCTGGGGCTCTGTGGAGCAACACTGAAGGCTCTGGGATATCCAGGGCTCTGTGGAGCAACACTCAAGGCTCTGGGATATCATTTAGAAAATAAAAATAAAAAATAACAAAACAATCCAGACCCTATATCTTCCCCTCCCCCTTACCCTACTCAAATATATGTTTTCTGGTATTGTTGTGTGTGAGTGTGACTATAAAACAGTAGAAGATCTGTGGCAGGCTTCGAAGAAAAAAGGGTCCACAGGTCTTATCTAATTGGGAGCCACTGCTCTAGAGGATCGAGGTCGAGGCAAGCAGTCGTCGCGACAGCCTTTTTATTTTGGCAATGATCGAAAAGTGTCACCACGTTAATGCATGATTGCCTGTGAGATCGAATGACGTGGAGGAGCATGGTCGCTTACGCTGGCAGTCAAAGCACTTGATCGAAAAGTGTCACCACTTCAATGCATGATTGCCTCTGAGATCGAATGACGCGGAGGAGCATGGTCGCTTACGCTAGCAGTCAAAGCACTTGATGATGATGTTATTCTCTTCTATACAGTGGCTGAGTGTACAATAGTAATGAATACTCGAATTATGTATTCATTTATTTATGTTCTTTTTTTTTCTCACAGTGTTTATGCTGTGCTGCTGCTGTAATTTTCGTGTCCCACGAACTCGACAGCAGATCGAAGAAAATTACCTCAAGCGGAAGATAAACAAACGATATCTTCACCTTCTAGAACGAAACCCAGAAAAACTGATAACCAAGCGAGGCAAATGGCTGCGCATCAAAGACATATGTTAGTATGCAATTTTGTCTTGTGTATCAAATATAGAGACAGAAGAAGAACTGATTTGTTCCTTTGCTGGTTCAGACCTTGCCACGAGGTGCTGTGGTGAGCTGCAGTTTATGTCCTTATAGCCACATAAAAATGCCCTTCTACTTCTTTAGTTTCCGAGAATTGGCATCCGAAGTTCGTCTTTGAAATCCAAACAGAGCCGGACCCCCCCCCCTCCCCCCCCAAAAAAAAAATACTTTGACTCCTATGTCTAACCAGCCTCAAATAGGTACCAGCTATAGTACTGGGAAGTAATCACGGCCGGCGTGATTTCGACTGCGTCACCCACCGGGTGCCAATCGGTCTAAAAAATTTAGACCTAGCACTGTATGCCCAAAACGCCAGCAAGCGTCGATAAAGGTCCTTTACTTTAGTCTATCCGAGACTCAAAGGCTGTTTGCTGCAGATATCAGATGCCTCCATTCATCTCTGTTACTATATTTTTGTTTCCAGAAGTTTTTTCTTCCCGTGTGTTTGTAGGTCTGCCTGAAAGTTATCCTCATTCCTTCCATGTTTTACCTTCTTTGATGACTCGGAGAGTGTATTATGTCAGTTCCTATAACATGGTAATATTGGTGCTTGGTATCAGCTGGACACTGTGTTTGTTATAGTACTGTCATGTTATTATCAGCCATCCACGATTCAAAATCTTTTGATCAGCTCCACAATCCTGCTATATGGTGCAAAAACTTGGACAGCGAATGAGCAAACTGAAAAGTGAATTGCCTCGCTAGAAATGGGGGTATACAGAAGAATTGGTCATATTTCATGGAAACAAAAACAGCCCAATACAGAGGTTCTGGAAATTCTTCAAATAAAAAGAGAATTACTGAAATGAATAAAAAAAAAGAGGCAATTGAAATACTTTGGCCACATTAAAAGACATAACACGCTTTAGAAAACCATAATGGAGGGAAAGGTCGAAGGCACGAGAGCAAGAGGGGGGCAGCGATACAAGTGGGAGGACAACATCAAGAGAGGAAAGGGCAGCAGTCAAGGAGTGTACAAACAGGACAAGAGACAGGGCGTTTTTGAGATCCATTGCAGGCAACCTTCACCATGGAGACGGCACCGGACTGAATGATTGATTTATCAGCTCCTACATCTGTCCTCATACTTAAGTTCATAACGGCAGTCGCGTTAGCGCAGTCAATAGGAGACTCACTTTCAAATCCAGCTGCGACTCGTAGCAGCCCAAGGCTGGTGTTCGAAACCGGGCGGTTCCTGGGGTTCACCCAGCCTCTAGGAAATGGGTACCAGAGCTACAGAGTTTCGTGCGGACGGCGACACAGGCTTACAGTTTCTTACAGGTTCGTAAACATATAGGTTATTTTCTCCTTTCCTACAACGTTTCCCTTTACCAAAGCCAAAATAGGTCAGCCATTTTTTTTCATAGTATTCAGAAAAAAAAAAAAAAAAAGGTCAGTGCATGCCACCGTGTAATAAGGACATAAAAGCTGAACATTTGCTGCTGAAATTTGTGAGTTACTAAGACATCAGAAGATATATATCACTGCACTTTAGTCATTTTTAGAACTCTCTTTACAAAGAGGAGGAGGAGGCACAGAATAAGAAGAAGAAGAAGAAGAAGAAGTCAGCGGAAATAATTTGCTCTAAATTAAGGCAGGTGCCTGGCTGTGTGAGAGTACAAAGAGGAGGAGGAGGAAGAAGAAGAATAAGAGCATAGAATGAAGAGAAACGAAGAAGAAGAAGAAGAAGAGAAGAAGAAGAATAAGGAATAAGAAAGAAAGGAAAGAAAGAAGAAAGAAGAAGGAAGAGAGAAGAAGAAGAAGAAAGAAGAAGAAAGAAGAAGAAAAGAAGAAAAGAGAGAGAGAAGAAAAGAGGAAAAAGAAGTAGAAGTAGGAAAAGAAGAAGAAGAAGAAGAAGTAAGAAAAAAAAGAAAAAAAGAAAGAAAGAAGAAGAAGAAGAAGAAGTAGAAGAGAAGAAGAAAGAAGAGAAAAGCAGAAGAGGAAGAAGAAGAAGAAGAGAAGAAGAAGAAGGAGAAGAAGAAGAAGAATGAAAGAGAAGAAGAAGAAGAAGAAGAAGAAGAAGAAGAAGAAGAAGCAGAAGAAGAAGAAAGAAAAAGCAGAAGAAGAGAAGAAGAAGAAGCAAAGAAGAAGAAGAAGAGAAGAAGAAGAAGAAGAAGAAGAAGAAGAAGAAGAAGAAGAAGAAGAAAAAGAAGAAGAAGAAGAAGAAGAAGAAGAAGAAGAAGAAGAATAAGAAGAAGAAGAAGAAGAAGAAGAAGAAGAAGAAGAAGAAGAAAGAATAAGCAGTAGCAGCAGCAAAATAAATAAAAGAGTGTGGTATAGAGAGTTAAACGAATTAAGTGTTGCGTATATTATAAAGTTATTCATAACTGAAACCTTTTATTTCCCGCATCTGTAGAAATTACTGGATTGCCCAACTTTATATCGCTAGTTTTTTTAGCTTCTTTATTTAGCCCAATCCAAAGAAAATATTCTCTGTGTTTTTATTTAACATCCTCAGATACAAGTAAAGTTTCAGCGACTGATTCTTCAGGAAAGATAAACATATTGAATTCTCCATTAGTTGTCAACTTCACAAGCCTGGCAATGCTGGAGTGGTGATGCAATCAGGTGACGTTAACGCGTCCGATGATGCTCATTTACCAAAAAGAACTGAACAAATCATGCTCAATACTCTGTTTCACAGACTCCAGGCACCAGTTGGTGTTCAGACACCATCGCCTTTTCGCCCACGAGATATTCTAGCGATGATGGTACAGCAGCCCCGACTTGTCGCACGGCAACCGACATTGAGTGCACAGCGGTTCAGACTGAGTGCACGGCAACCAAACCTGGTTGCACAGTCAGCCCGACTTAGTTCACAGCAAAGTATAATGATGAATGCACAGCAGCCCAGACTGAGTGCACGGCAACCGACATTAAGTGGACAACAGATCAGACCGAGCTCACAACAAAAGACATTGATGAATGCACAACAACCCAGATTGAGTGCACGGCAACCGACACTGGGTACGCAGCAATCCAGATTTTATTGCACAGCAAAACATATTGATGAATGAACAGCAACCCAGACTGAATGTGCTTAAAGCGAAATTCATTGCACACCAACCCAACCTGAATGTACAACAAAAGACACCGTTGAATGTACAACAACCTAGATTGAGAGCACAGCAACCGAGATTGATTGCACCGGCATTGAATGCAATGCAGCCCAGATTAAGTATACAGCAGCCGTCACTGAGTACCCATGCAAGCCAGACTGAGTATACGACAGCTGGCATTAAGCACACAGCAGACGATATTGAATGCACAGCAACCTAAAATGGGAGCAGGCCAAGACAGGTACCTGCTTTGATGTTATCAATGATCAGTTTACATGAAATCGACGCCACGGAAAAAAAAGAAGTAGAAACACGCAGAAACAACAGAATCCAAAAAGTATATTTATGTATGGCTTAACGTCCTTGTCTTATGATTATGACATTCAGAGAATATGATATTAACCCCATATTATAATGGTCTAACTGACATTCACTGACTGATTTAATCAGTGCCATCCGGCCGCCTTTACTTCATGAAAATTTATGGTATACATTTATAGCCTGGGTCTAGACTGGCAAACAATATACCTTAGCTGGACCTATACACCTGGGCATGCCAGCAGGAAAGGTTATGAACGAGCGGAACAACTGGCCGGCAATGCACCAGCGCCTGTTGAATAAAGCAACGACAAAGCAGATATCACAACGCTGTACGGACTAGGTTTTAATGGATAATGCCGATTCTCTGACACTAACATAATTGCATGACATTGGAGTAAAGCATGGTGAAGCACCTCTATGCCACCTCTGAGGCCGAGATATGAGACATTTTAACCAGCTCCTCATGGAAACAATCAGAAGAGTTAAATTGCAGGGGCTGCTGCATCGTAGGATTGGGCACCCATGGAAATGCCCAGTGTTCAGTATCGTTGATTTTAATGATATAGGAGACGATGGTAAAATTATACATACAACCTGAATGAGAATTTGAACCACTGACAAACAGATCGACAGACAAATATAGTAGCTATTGAGTTCTGCTGGCTCCCTTAGACTGTAGAGCGGCGGTTCTCTACCTGTGGGTCACGACCCTTTTGGGGGTCGAACGACCATTTCACAGGGGTCGCCTAAGACCATCGGAAAACACATATTCCCTGAAGTTACGAAGAAGCAACGAGATTGATTTATGGCGGGGGTCACCAACAGATGAGGAACTGTATTAAAGGGTTCGCTGTATTAGGAAGGTTGAGAATCCCTGCTGTAGAGAATGCATTACTCCACGTAAACCATGTCTATAAGTGATAATTTATCGTCTTCTTCGTTATCCTGTAATAGCACGTTGGACACGTTTACAGCTAGGTTGCGATATCAGCGCTTTTTGGGCAGATACATCTAATTTCAGGATACCATGAATAAGTATCTTGTATGTGTTGTTACTGCTACCTTTCCGTCTTTCCAGATGATTGCGCTTTATTGTGCTATGGGGATGCAAGAGACTCGTCGCGATGGCGAGTGAGATTAACAAGACCCCCTGGCGTTAAGAAATGTTTTCCACAATTAGAGCTTCTGATGTCTGGACCTTTTCTTTCATCACCTGTATTTATTTTCGTTCTCTCAAACTGAAAGCAATCACCCCCCCCCCCCCCCCCCCTCCGCCTCTCTCCACGCCCATTTTTTTAGAATTTCTCCCTGATTTCCTCCTTCCAAAAAAACACGACCTACGGTAATATATTTCCAGGAATCTACCTCAATACATGTATCATTCATGTCTCGTTTGCACGCATCTTTATTTTGTAGTAGAGACCGACATCGAAATTTTCCTGTCCATTCTGTGATTCACCATAGAGCTGAGATTCTCAAACCCTTTTTTGGTGTAGAATGACGCACTCACAGGGGTCGCTAAAAA